AAGAAAGTTACAATAAAAGGCATACATTTTTTATATCCAAATATGTGTAACTTCAGGACATTTCTACCCATTGTTTGGCGCTTTAGATAGGGCTATAACTAAATGATGTAGACCTAACTCATTCATCATAGAAAATGCTGAATGCACTGACTAAATTGTGATACTATTCAACTTATAGTGTATGTAACAGGATTGAAATCTCACAAAACAGATTTGGTAAATATCAATATGTATAATTGATAATCGAAATGAATTATGAGATAAAATGCAACAAAATCAAATTTGTGTCTCAATCTTTATGTCATTGATGATTTATGTTGTGCTATTATAAGTAAGATTAAAATAGACCTAGAATTTTTTTTATTAGCAGGAGATGTTTAATATTTTCAAGGCAGAAAACAATTCATAAAATACCAGGTACAGGCATCCATGATTTTGCAATTAAGCATTTTTTTTTTTCATTTTGTACAACGAAGTGAGCTGCTCTTCCATTTAGTTGTTTATTTATTGTGCAGGGTTTTGATGTTTGATTGATACCATTAAATACACATACAAGTCTCAAATAAAGAGATTTAGACATAAAAAACATGCACTTCTGTTAACAGCATTCAGAAAACTTCCATCACAGATACACCAGCATTCAGAAAAACTTCTTGTTGCAGAGTTTTAGACATAAAAATAAATACTACAGCATTCAAAAAACTTTCTTTAACAGATTTGAATATGTGTAATTGTGTAAGATACTGTATCCACATGTAGATTTGATTTATTTCATGTCATTAAGCTTTATATTTAGTTTTATATAATGTAAAGTTGATGGCATTATTGATCCCTCTAAACATTTCTGCTCTTTCAGAGCATTATGATTGGAGGACACATATTGTTCTTAGTGGTCAATGATTTTTATTTTCTGTTGTGAATTTCATGTGAAGGATTTTAAAATAATACACAGCATATATATTAATAAATGTATCTATATACATTTGTATGTTGACGTAGGCATCAGATGCTGTAACTATATAGTGTGTAATTCAGTTCCTCTGTGAAATTTGCTGGACATGTGATGTTCAGGAAACTGTGACCAAAGACAATTTTACAGAGCTTTTATATAAATGAAGATAATGTTCTTGTGTGTAGTCCTGTAATCTCAGATATGGGGCAGGATTAACATTCAATTTACTGGCATTCTTTGTTTATTTTTGTGGATGTTCTATTTTATTCAGTCATCATGTTTGCTTTTACATGTAGATTTTCAATCTTTCTTCAATCTGAGCTCATTATTAAATGTTTGATTAATTTTTTCTCATTATTATAATTTATATTTGAATATACATGTATAGTGGGTAAATGCAGCTATTTTGTTAAGTTTTGTTTTTCATTTATATGTATCAAGTGCCATATAAATACATTTTCATAGTTCTACCAATATTTATCATTTTTTTTTGTCAGCTGGTATCTTTTTGTAGTAAGTCAGGTGTACACATTTAAGAAATCTCACACTTCACATTAGCTGCTTCCTTGTATTGTTGGTCGCCTGTGTTGTAACCAGCTGGTTTTGTCAATCTGTTACAATAAAATGAATTTAATCTCTATTGAATCTTGGCTTGTTATTTGTGGGGGGGGGGGGGGTATGTACAACTGTAGTATATAGACAGAGTAGAGCAATACTGCCTTGCATTCAGACTCTGTAGTGGATAGGATGATTTGGGATATGTGTGCAGAGGAGTGTCTATCGATCACTACCTTCCTGTAAGTTGTACTCAGTTTAAGGTACCTCACACAATGTAACAACATCTTACCTATTGATAATTTTCAAGATCTGATGAACTTTAAATCATTGAACCAAATCAAATCAGCAGGGGTTTTGAATATATATCAGATGATGAAAATCTTTGTGGTTTTTAAAGAAAAAATGCTGAAGATAGAGGTTTAGCCGGTATTTCCTCAAAATTTGTTTTACGAGAGGTGTACAGCATCATTTAGGCATAGTAAAAGTTACACAAAGGTCCTTCAGTTATTGGAACTCTTCAATATTACAAGGAAAAAGTTGAAATATTACGAGAAAAAAGTTGAAATATTACGAGAAAAAAAGAAATATTACGAGAAAAAAGTTGAAATATTACATGTACGAGATAAAAAGTTGAAAACTATGTTGCGTATGACCTTCATTTGTTAATTTATGAGACGATGGATTTATAAGTCATTCTTATGAAAAAAACCCCTGTTTTTGAAGGACCATTGGAATCCTATCTTTGCTTTCAGTTATTTGTGTTATAACCAATCACTGCCTTGCTTTCAGATATTATAGTGTTTTATAACTCAAGGTATGAACTAACCATTGTCGTGCTTTCAGATATTAGTGTTTTATAACTCAAGGTATGAACAAATCACCTCCTTGCTTTCAGATACTGATATAGAATAGGCTTCAGATAAATGAAAAATAAATTTAAAACCATTTATTATGAATAAATTTACGCAAGGAATGCAATAACGACGCAAAAAGTAATAATGAAGGTTGAGGTATCGAATAGAGATCCATCTAAAAAAAAAAGATCTATAAACAATAAACATCTGTAAAGAAAGCATATAAAACACGGGTCCACGGAAACTCCAGAAGTGGAATCAAATGTCTATGAGAATCTATCCAAAACTTAAAGTTGATGATGAATTAAGCAAATTTGAAAACAATTTTAGAATGATTCTTAATATATCTGGTAATTTTAGTAATTTACGCTTGCTTTCTCATGCGTATTGTGTACTCGTACATTTAGAATGCTTTAATTTTTTTAAATTTGGCTTTATTTTTTTTAAATCCAAAGTTAAGTAATTAAATAATATCTCCAAAAAATATTACTAGCTATATATGGTAATTTATGTTAATTTATACTTAGTAAAACTGATTCGTTGACAGGTTTAGAAATACTTAGTTGATGATTTATCTGAACCTACATAATGAAAAAGTGTAATTACATTTTGCTTTAATCTCGACTCAAAATGCTATATAGAGGATATTTAATGTTTTGTAGATGAATATGGAATTTATTTCACGAGTGGGACAGGATTTTTTAATATTTTCACGAGTGCGAAGCTCTACAAAAACATTGAATTTTCTGTTTATTACATTTTCTTAGATTTCCCTTTGCCTCTGTCTTTTCGTAGACTTGTCATAGGCTGTGACGTCATAGTTGAGCGGTTGAGACGTCATCCATGAACATGGATTTTTAGCGACATATTTGGAAAAACTTTGGCAGTATAACTATTAGTCTCTGTCAGGATGGCTCATTAACTCTATCTTATAACAGGCCGGGGATTTTTTTAAAAAACACCCTTCTTGAAGGGAAGGAAAATCGTAAGATTTGCCGCACTTCTGATATTCTCACACTTTGAGAATACCATTTTGATATCCTTCCACACTGTGTCAGAATATCACTTTTATTCTGTAAATAAATTACAGTATTTCACTGTTGAAAATGTATAATAAAACGCAAAATGTTACAATCTAAAACGACCATTATTATATTTTGCGTTAATCTCGACGCAAAATGATCTTATGCAAAAAGTAATAATTCCAAAAGTGTGCTACAGCATTTTGAGTAATGGCATTTTGCGTCAATCTGGACGAAAAAATGTGGTGACGCAGAATTTAATGATTAGAAAAAAACTTTTGCGTTATTATATTCTGTGTTAATCTTGACGCAAAATGTAATGATGTCTTCTTCTTCTTTTTTTCATTTTGCGTCGTTTTAACATTTTGCGTTGTAACAGAGGGGAAAATCAAAACAAAACAGTATCACAGTATCACAGTTACGGTGGTTTTATTATGTCAACACAGTAAGATTTCGGTCCCAAAGAGACAACCTTCGTTGGTGGCCTTGGTTTTCGAGTTATCTGTCCTGGATCTGTATTTTTGGTTTTTGACGACAAGGTATATAAACAATTTCGTTTTCTGTAATAAGCGTCAAGCAATGCGTACTTAACTGTACATTTAAATAAATATTTTACATTTGAGTTATTTTAGCCATATCATAAAACCGCACAGTGTTTTTCTGAACAACGTAAGAGAACTTGTATGGAAAGCCGTAGGGTACCCCCACATTATTATTATTTTTTCCTATATAATTATACCAAAAATAATTATCTCATCCAAAAATAAAAAATAATAAATGTTGTCAAAAAAAGCAAGATTTTTATTTTTGGAAGAGATAATTATTTTTGGTATAATTATATAGGAAAAAATAATAATAATGTGGGGGTACCCTACGGCTTTCCATAAACTTGAAATGTTAAATAGATTATGAATATTAAAATTGTTTGCCCTTCAATTGGGACTACTTACAAAGATCAAACAGGGCTAATATGTACATGACCCAATAATAAAGATGTACAATTTACTCAGAGTTGTTGAATTAACATATTAGAAGAGCGATGGAAGGAGAACCTAGGTTTTGTGTTCCCTGTCAGCGATAGTGAAGCAAACTAAGAATTAAAATCAAACATACAAAAACCTTGTGTGTCTTTACAAAAAATAGGGACAGACCAGGGCTTTCTTTAATTGAAACAAATCTATCATCATGATAGATTGGTGTATCATTTTACTACTCAAACATGGTAGGATTTATTTTTTGAAATACTAATATTTGAGTTATCGATTAAATGTCTTTACCTGATTATAAAAAAAAAATAACTACAAATTGTTAATACGATTTGATAGGGAGATTTTATAGACTACAAAACTCCGTAGACTACAATAAAGATTTACACTTGTCTTCAAACCTCAGGAACGATTAAACACGGTGATGTAACATTTCTTTGCTAAATCTCATTATTCTTGAATAAATAAAAAGATTTTTATGGGTTTAAACCCCGCGATTTTGGCATTATATGTCCATGTTGAAGTTGGGGATTTTTTAACAATAGCTGGTCTTTTGGAGATCAATCTCACAAATCAAATGGCCTTTTAAAGATATAATATAATCCAAGTAGATAAAATAGTCGTGCAGTATAGACATGAATGCATCGTAACGTGTAAAGGACGGGTTGTGTATTCTACGGGATTAAATTACAACTAGGTAAGTCACAGTTTTGCTAAAAATTCATAAATTATTCTTCTTTTCTGGATAAAAAGAATTAACATTTTGTAATATACATAATTGTTTTAAAAAAGGATTTATATTACTTGCAACACATCGTTAAATATTTTTCATCGGAATTAGAGTGAACAGAAGTATTGAATACTAAGCATTAAAAACATAGGTAATCAAAGATTACTAAGCTCACCTCGACGAATGTCATCTATAAGTAAGGCAAATCTCACATCATATATTTTTCCTAGTTAGTGTACATCCCAAGATTAATATCCATCAAAATTAGATTCAGAATCCAAAGCAAGTCTGGAAGTGTCCATCTCTAGATACATCATCATCCATGCTAATTTGGTTAAAATATGGCTAAAATTCACTCATGTGGAAAATCAAGGTCAGATCCAGCACCCGAAGCAGGTTAATTAGTGTTCATCCCTAGATGCATCATCCATGCAAGTTTGGTCCAGGTAGGGCTTACAGTTCCTTGGACCTGCTCCAAAAAAAACTTTAACCTGGTCACTCATTTGGAAAAATCTAGGTCAGATCCAGCATCTGAAGCAAATATGGTAGTGTCTATCCCTAGATGTATCATCCATGCAAATTTGGTCCAGGTAAGGCTTATAGTTTCTTGGGAATGGACCTGCTTCAAAAACTTCAACCTGGTCACTTATCTGGAAAATCTAGGTTGAAGAGGAAAATTAGGCAACCAATAATGACATGAAATCTACTAATGATATAAAGTAACATCCACACACTGATTTGTTATTAATAATCCACTTTGTTGGTTTCATTGGATTTGTTCTATTAGTGATACATTATAACGTATCATTGCTGGAATTTGTATCATAAGTGATAAGTACAGAGAGTTGTAGTAAAATACGATAGAGATTTTCATCATCTTGTATTGAGAATTTATTGATTTTGGAGCTAATTCGTGAATTCAGAATTTACAATAGAATGTTTAAGATGATGATCAATATTTTATGATATCTGCAGTCGCTTGCTCATGTTATCCATTCTGAATTAATGATGATCGTCTGCTGCAATATATCGGAGTGTTTTATAACACTTTCATAATCAACCTTAGAAACAAGAAAGTTTCCCATATTTCTTATTCAAAATGAATTTTTGTATGCATATCATATATTTCAAAATCTTATGCTAAATACAACCAATACATTTAATATATTGCTTTTATCTGTTAAACTGCTATTTGATAAAAGGAATGAAATTATGACTACTTATTCTGAAACATACATATAGACACATGTATAGACATGTATCTCACTGATGTGGATAATAAGCTATTTATGAACCTAAATGCATGTAAATAATATTAAACACGTGAGATAAGAAAACCTTTACTGCATTAAGTATAGTGTGCGAGTAGGTAGTCTTTATAAATTATATTTTTTTCCCATCACAAAGTAAAGTTCAATCTCTAAATCTACCCGAAATAATAAGCAAGAAGGTGCATGTAAGTTCAGTGTTAAAAAAGAAATCAAATTTGTAGATTTAAGTAGAAAAAGAGTGTAATCAACGATAGACCAAGAAAACGACATAAACATAAAAAATTAATCAACCAAACCGCCAAATAAAAAAAGAAAGTAGATTTGTCAGAGTATTTCGTTGATAAGTATACAATATATTAATATTGTCTTAAAGTGCCTGCAACAGATGATGCTGTAAATTGTAAAGGAAAGGAAAGCATTATACTAACGCAAGATTTGATTTTTACATTGACTATTGATTTTTTTTTGGTGCAGGGCTGATGTGACATGTAATACTTATTATGGGTGGCGGATCTAGCATCTTCACAAAGCAGGAGCTGGAGGATTATCAGGTAAAAGTATTGCGACCTCAACAACTGACCAAACTATTTTTTTCACATTCTACTTCAAAATATTCGGCAAAGAGGTCAAAGCAAATTGGAAAAAAAATCAATATACATGTTATCACATTCATGTCTCAAGCAATTATGGTGCTAAGTGTCTATTTTTTAAAATTTAGAATATGAAAAATAATGAATATCTTCACATTAATATAAGAGTAAATCGATTAATTCATTTTTAGGGCTTAAACTAGCATTGAGCTGTATTATTTATGTTCTAAAAAACGAACAAATAATATTAATGATATGATAAACATAATTTTTACTGATTTTAAAAAAATCAACAACGAACAACACACAATTTCTACAACTGTCCAATTTTTGAGGAATTATGCAGTTCAATAAATATTGCAAAATACTGAATCGCAGAACATTCCAGTTCCATACCTCGAGTATTGCATATCAAAAAGAATTGCAAAATTGCAAACACATAGCTTTAAATCCTGTACGTGACGGATCAAATTGCAAAAAGAAAAGAAAAGAAGAAAAACAGATATTAAAGGAATGCAATACATATATATCGAATTTAGAGTATCTTTAAAAGAGCATTAGTATCATCATAGGTGTTAAACCGTAAACATTAATAATTGACTATATTGCCTTTTACCGAAGACATAGCATATTGTATTTTATTACACGAATCCTTGTGACGGTACATATTGTTTTGTACATATTGTCGTCGGCGACAATATGTACCTACCCTCACTGCACATACCGTCGTCCATCGGTACATATTGTCGCCGGCGACAATATGTATCAAGACGAGCCTTATTTTCCTCCTGCATAATGGATGACAAAATGTACAGTCAAGCACCAGCACATATTGTCGTCAGCGACAATATGTACAGTCAAGATCGGAATATATTGTCGTCGATATATTGTTTTGACGAATATTTAATTGAGAAAGGAAAGAGAGATTGACAAACACACACACACGCACTGAGGGAGACAGCAGCATTACCTGCAATGCTATAGCGAGAAAAGTTTTTTGGTCAGAAAATTGTGTTCAGGATTAATGTTCATCACTTTTAAATGTCAAGATACCGTAATTTTTGAGATATCTGATAAATCAGCCTATTCTTTTTTTCTTGTAATATATACTTTGAGATTGAATACATATATATTTTTTTGTTCAGTAGTAATGATTATTTGGAAATTTTTTTTGCGTCATTCTTATAAACAATCAGTGCCGATATAATTAGTGTTGGAGTTGACATTTTTAGATCACCTTAACTGTAAGTTCAAGTGAGATTTTCTGATCACATTTTGTCTGACCTTCCTTCTGTCTGTAAACTTTTCACAATTTCAGCTTCTTCTCAAGAACTACTGGGTCAATTTCTGGCAAACTTGCCACAAAGCATTCTCGGATAAAGGGGATTCAAGTTTGGACCATGCCCTCTTTCAAGGGAAGTATCTAAGAATGAGTGAAAATTTATTGACATCTTTTAAAAATCTTTTCAAGAACCACTGTGTCAGAAAAGTTTAAACTTACGTGAAAGCTTCATTATGAAGTGAAAATTCAGTTTCATTCCCACGGGGGAAGGATGTGGCTACAATAGGTGATCAAAATTTTTCATAGAATATTCGTAAAAAAAGTCTTTCAATTTTTTTTTCAAGTACCGGGTCAGAAGAGGTGATACTTATGTGAAACCTTCGTTACATAGCGTACGTTCAATTTTGAGGTGCTGGTACAAAAAAGAGCCCTCGCTACTCAATAACCCTGAGTGCCAAGTATAGGTCTAAATTTGCAGCCCTCAACTGGCAAGTAGTGACGTCTAGATACGAAAGAAAAAATTCTCGAGATGGACATTGTAACGACAAATAAAACAAAATCAGTTTTTTTTTTTTCAAATCATGACTCCAGGGGTAGGTGGGGCCATAATGGGTGATCAAAGTTTTACATAGATATACATGTATATACAGAAAATCTTCAAAAATCTTCTCAAAACCAAACAGATGTAGCACCGGCGCACCCCCTCCACGGCCCGGTGGTTTAATTTTTTCTGCTTTGGTAAATTCTCTTTGTTTAACTTGTATATACTCTCAATCTAGTCCACACGTAAAATTTCATAATTAAATAATTTACTTATCATATACGGAAAAACAACTGCACATACAAATGACTTTTTAATTTTCTTTTACTCCTTTTCCGTTCTGAAAATTCTGGATCCACCAATGAGAACAACAGTAGGCCAGTGATTAGTGATGTTTATATGGCAGCATTCTCAGGTAGCGCAGATTCAGGTATCTTCAAATCAAACCGGGTCTAGGGTGTGTCAACAAAGGGCGATCAAAGTTTTACAAAAGAATATATATTAAAGCAATGGTTAGTCATATTTATATGGATTGATTGATTATTAAACAGTTAAAGTATATCAATGAGGGAGTTAGCTAGATTCCAGTTCCTCAAGGTCAGGACTAATCCTGAGGCGAAGCCGAGGGAAATAGTCCTGGTCGAGGGGAATTTGAATCTTGCTAACTCCCGCAATGATATACTTTTAACTGTTTTATTATACCGATACAAACGTTAAAATTTAGAGGACTCAAGATAGCGTGACTTCAAAGCAGGAATTAGCTAACTGAACTAACACACGGGAATTAGTCCATTCACATATCACACCAAAGTACATGTATAAGTAAAATTTAGAGGATTACGGATAACCGGGAATTAGTTTTCGAATCAGGGATAAGCTCACTTGACTAACGCACGGGGATTAGTCCATTCTTAACAATTTCTAGGGAATTAGTCACATCTAACGATCTACGAGGGGTGATCAAAAAGTTCGCGAACTATCTCTATATTTAAACAAGAGGCCCATGGGCCACATCGCTCACCTGAGCACATTGGCTAGGAAAAAAAGCAAAAATCAGTTCAGTATTGCAAAGTTTATGGGGGGTGGGGGGTGGAGGTTGAATTTTAAACTACCTAATGATGCTTTCATATCAATATAACAAATGGCTTTGCTGTTCTTGAGCAGCAGATTTTTTCCCCATATATTCGTTTGTAAAACTTTGATCCCCCATTGTGGCCCTACCCTACCCCCAGGGGTCATGATTTGAACAAACTTGAATCTACACTACCTGAGGATGTTTCCATATAAATATGACCAATCATGGCTTTGCTGTTCTTAAGAAGAAGATTTTTTAAGATCTTTTCCTATATATTTCTATGTAAAACTTTGATCCCCCATTGTGGCCCCACCCTACCCCTGGGGGTCATGATTTGAACAAACTTGAATCTACACTACCTGAGGATGCTTCCATATAAATATGACCAATCATGGCTTTGCTGTTCTTAAGAAGAAGATTTTTAAAGATCTTTTCCTATATATTTCTATGTAAAACTTTGATCCCCCATTGTGGCCCCACCCTACCCCCGGGGGTCATGATTTGAACAAACTTGAATCTACACTACCTGAGGATGCTTGCAAATAAATATGACCAATCATGACTTTGCTGTTCTTAAGAAGATTTTTTAAGATCTTTTCCTATATATTTCTATGTAAAACTTTGATCCCCCATTGTGGCCCCACCCTACCCCCGGGGGTCATGATTTGAACAAACTTGAATCTACACTACCTGAGGATGTTTCCAAATAAATATGACCAATCATGGCTTTGCTGTTCTTAAGAAGAAGATTTTTAAAGATCTTTTCCTATATATTTCTATGTAAAACTTTGATCCCCCATTGTGGCCCCACCCTACCCCTGGGGGTCATGATTTGAACAAACTTGAATCTACACTACCTGAGGATGCTTCCATATAAATATGACCAATCATGGCTTTGCTGTTCTTAAGAAGAAGATTTTTTAAGATCTTTTCCTATATATTTCTATGTAAAACTTTGATCCCCCATTGTGGCCCCACCCTACCCCTGGGGGTCATGATTTGAACAAACTTGAATCTACACTACCTGAGGATGCTTCCATATAAATATGACCAATCATGGCTTTGCTGTTCTTAAGAAGAAGATTTTTAAAGATCGTTTCCTATATATTTCTATGTAAAACTTTGATCCCCCATTGTGGCCCCACCCTACCCCTGGGGGTCATGATTTGAACAAACTTGAATCTACACTACCTGAGGATGTTTCCAAATAAGTTTCATCTTTCCTGGCCTAGTGGTTCTTGAGAAGAAGATATTTAAATGATGCCACTATTTTTTCAGTAATTCCTAATTATCTCCCCTTGAAAGAGGGCATGGCCCCTCATTTGAACAAACTTAAATCCCCTTTACCCAAGGATGCTTCATGGCAAGTTTGGTTGAAATTGGCCCAGTGGTTCTGGAGAAGAAGTCAAAAATGTGAAAAGTTTACAGACGGACGGACAGACAGACAGACAGACAGACGGACAGACGGACGACGGACAAAAAGTGATCAGAAAAGCTCACTTGAGCTTTCAGCTCAGGTGAGCTAAAAATCACAATTCAGATCAGAATGATATTTTGCACACATATAGTCATACATATGTTCTATAAATAGCAGATATTAAATAATGTTTTCCTCCGTGTTTGTGACGTCACAATGTGAAAATGACGTCCGTATGTAGGTCACTTGTGACAAAACATGGTTGACTCAGTCGTACTCGAGCAACGAACGGCTGTAAAGTTTAACGTATATCTCGGAAATTCCTTTGCAGTAGAATATGATAATTTGTATAAGGCTTATGAAGACAAAAGACTTACCAGAAGTTCAATCATTAATTGGATTGAATGTTTTAATGAAGGCAGGGAGATGGTTAAAAATGATGTTTGTTCTGTTGACCAGCGAAAGCAAGCTGGTAAAAAGATGTGTCCTTAGTTGAGCAATTTGTTTTGAAAGATCGCCAAGTTACAGTAAGAAAAATAGTTGAATATCTGAGCAATAATATAATTATTAAATCCCTAAAATATCGTTAACTTTAGACTTTAAACATATGAAATATGAAAAAAGAAAAGGCGCCCATACTTTTCCACATTGGATAAACGACGCTCTCAAGACAGAGGACTCGGATTGTGATGGTCACCATGGTAATTCTGGGAAGGGATATCCTTATCCACCCATCCTGTTGCCGAGATTTGGCCATTTTTGACAGATGGTCTGTTCTTGTTATAAAAAATTACTTGCATGGTAAGAAATATGACTCGGAAAAATCTCTTAGCTTCTGTGAACAGACAGGTACGAAGCATGTCACGTGACCGCCTGGATCACGTGATTCGCGCATGGGCAGAACAATGGCAGATCATAATGTTATATAAGGAAAAAATCAGTAGAGGTATAATAAACAATATTAACGCCGAGTCGGCAATATTTCAGCCATATTTCGACGAACAAATTAACTGTATATGACCATTGCTGAAGTTTTTGGTTTCTCTGGCCATATTTATATGGAGCATTGCCGTGCATTGTCATGCGACATGTTCTGATGGACGACAATATACGATGTGAGGGTCGGTACACATTGTCGCCGACGACAAAATGAACAGGACGACAAAATGTACCGTCACATCACGCTGCATGAAATAACATACGCGACAGGTCAGTGTGATTCACACACCAATTACATTCACAAAACTACCAAACAACAACAAAAGAAATCTTTAAGCAACAATACATGTATCTGTGGGGCGACAATATGTACAGTGAGGGTGAGGCACATAATGTCGCCAGCGACAATATGTACAAGTGTTACTTTTCAGCCGGTGACAATATGTACCGATGGACGATAATATGTGCCGTGAGGGTATGTACATGTTGTCGCCGACGACAATATGTACAAAACGACAATATGTACCGTCACAATCCTCTTTTATACAGTGGATATAGGTCATATGATATCGTTTCATATCATAGTTGCGACGTCGCAATAATTTTAGCATGAAAGTGTTGAAGTCAAACTATGAAAGTGATGAAATCAAACTTAGGGACAGTGTAAAACATGTGATAGCTTAGTGTAAAATACTAGTATGCCATAAAAAGAATTTCCCATGGTTTGAGGTTGATATATCCATGCTTTGTGGTTGATATGATTTTAACCAACTGTTTTTGTTTTCTATCCCCTAGCCATGGGTATAGAAAACACAACTCGCTGGATAAAACTCATATTCAACAAACAAACCATGGGAGATCCTCTACATAAGGTTTAGAAAATGACTTGATTTGAAATTTAAGTCATATCTTTTTTCTCATTTTAAGGAACTGACATATTTTACAAAGAAAGAAATTCACCAGTGAGTAAACTATTTGAATACTTGCTTCATAACGTCAAAGGTGATATGTGTCCTTTGTTTTAAATTTGATAATTAGGATGATGACAATTTAAAAAAAGGTCTTTAAAATATGCCTGTATACATACTGTAACGTAGCATACGATAATATGCTTGGAAAAAATTGATATGAACATTCAAATAATATTTTTACTTTGAAACATCTTAGTTAATCGTACATGTTGCTTTTTGTAGTGTTTTTAAAAGATTCCAGAGCTTAGTATTGGACGATGATGACGAAAGCGATAGGGAAGTGACGAAACACACCAAACTATCACGTGACGATCTATTTAATCTTCCAGAACTCAAGGTTAATACCTTCTTGTATTACAATAATTAAGGTATTGATTGCATTTATTTATAACAGAAGACCTATAGATTTGTCGCACACATCTCTGGTTGAAAAATGAATTGATAATGAATGTGTAAAGCCCAAATTGCGGCCCTTATCTATACCAACTACACATTAATTTGACTTACCATAGGTTTGTTCTTGGGGATGTTTATACTTTTTAGGGTTGAACACTCTCTTCCTCATTATGTTTTTGAATCATGACTTAGTAGAGTCTTTATTACTCAGGATGGTAAGATATTTAGATTTTGTTGAATATAGGAAGATCTTTTGCTCTGTCAGCCCTAACGTCTACAATCCTGACCTAGTCCCTAACCTTTTTACCATTATTCACCCATTAAAAGATTATATCGGTCAATTAATTGAAAGAACCTAACTTCTCTGTATAAAGGTACAATGTAGTAGATAAGAAATGGTAAAAATATAAAAGGACGGAGTGAGGCAGCTGGAAGTAATGGATAAAACTGGTTCAGAATCTGTAATCTTGTTACCATCGTAACCTTTTTTTTTGTAAAATTTCAACTTGTACGGAGTGGGAAAAGATTATTTTTGTGTGGTGGGAAAACTCACAGATTAAAGTTAAGAGCCGGAATTTCTCTCCTATTTGCTACTAGTTTGATTTGAAGCTGTATGTATGATTTGATTGACAGGTGAACCCGTTTAAAGATCGGATCTTGAGGGTATTTTCGTCCTCCAACGATGATAGCATGACGTTTGAGGATTTCCTCGATATGATGTCCGTGTTCTGTGACCACGCCCCCTTGGCAATCAAAGTAGAATATGCCTTCAGAATTTATGGTACATGTAGCATCTTTTAGAAACATAAAACTTAATTTTCTTCAATAATTTTTTTGAAATCGCTGCTTTTAAAAGACCACAAAAAACTGAAAGGTGATATGTCTTTGAAATACTGCAGGATGGGAAATGAGAAATAACAGGAGCATATTTGTTTATTTACAGATTTTGATGAAGATGAAGCAATCGGTCGAGGTGATTTAAAACAGGTGATTGACAGATTGACAGGTGAAAAAACTCTTGGAGAAGCTGACATGGACCAACTTATTAACTCCGTAAGTACGCCACCACTTGTCTAGCTGCCTTCAACATTTATTGTTGCTTCAAATACTTACAGTATCTGTCACAGCTAGGATAAATAAAACACCTTGAATTTCTTTAGTATGTATGAAATATGTTCATATGAACAGATCGTGGTTTTATTTGCAAGATTCTTCTTACTTTATTCTAGAAATAGAATGACGGTTAAATTCCACGAAGCAGTTAAATTTCCATTTGTTCTCTAGCTAGCAAGGGTAGATACTACTTACTAAACAGTATTTTGAAGATTTCATGCTAATAAAATCATATAAGCGGGGATAATGTATTATTTTATCGCAAGAAAAGCCAGAGAACAACTGTAAACTTAATTTCATTTCAGAAATTATTTTGTTTTGCTTCGGACTGGAATGGCGCTCTGTCATTGGATAACAGAGGTCACGTGCCTGCCTTTAATATTTCTTTGAGCGGTCGAGTTGCAAAAGTTGGAAGGCAACATGGCGATTTAAACGACGTTATGTCATCTTAATTAAAAGAACAAATGATTTGAGATCTTTTTTCACGTTTAATTTTCTATGTTCCTACTGATTTGGCATTACTGCGATTAAAATTTGGAGTAGCGCCCCTTTTCAGTGACGTAATGAGTAAACAACAAGATGACGGTGATTTGCACAGACGAAAAAATCGTTGAATTGTAATTGATCTCGATAGCTTTGCTAACTGTTTATTGGTCCTCGAAAAAACAAAACACGTATAAGATCTGCTACTGACTGTCCACAGAAATATTACGGCTTTGGCTCGCCTTCCATGGACTTGAACAACCCGTAATATTTCTTTGGACAGTCAGTAACAAACTAAAAAGTAATACTATTGCATTCCTCTGCATGGCTATGTATGTTAAAAAAACGATTTATTCATTTAGATAATGGATGAGGCAGACCTGGATAATGATGACGCATTGTCGTTTGCCGAGTTCGAACATGTGATGACTAAAAACCCGGAGTTTGTCACGTACGTACATGTACATGTATATTTTTGTCAATTTACACATGAATATACACCCATATATCTGACTAACTGAATTTGCATTATACTGCAGGTTTATTTAAGGAATGAATTGAATAGCTACCGAGTTATTGTGTATAACCTGGGTCGGGACAGTTTACGTATTATAGACCGCTAAGCGGAATTATTAGAGAATTTTTCTATATCCAGTCAAATGGCATGTTACAACCAGAATTAAGAATAATTATGTCAACTCTTTTTTCAGGAGTTTCAGGATTCGCATGTAAATATACCTGTGACACCCAGCATGACACTGAAACATATCTTTGATGGTGTCTTGTGACGCCTGTAAATATTTCTATCATGACACGTCTTGATATCTTTAAGACGCCTGTAAATATTACTATGTTGATATATCTTTGTAAAAGACACGGAAGCCGGGTGGCCGACGCTGTAAAAATGCTTTAGTAACATTTTTACGGAAGCAATAGACAGTCACTGTGTTATAACAATAGCATATTTTCTGAGGAAATGTTTCTTTTCTGTGATTTTTTTTTGTTCAGTTATAAAATTTGAAATCCTGGCATATGCAATTTTAAAGGCAAAAATGCACTATACATTTTAGAATGTGTGCAATGTACCTACCACTAACTACTTATTTTATTGTGTCAGTCTGTGAATGTTTACACACCTGTACAGTGTATGTACCTGTATGTACCAAATGATGTCTGTCATTGTTATCTATCACCTCTATCAATTGTTGTACAGTACTGATTAAATCAATATTCTATACAATATCAGTGATCTTTTACTCTCTCTCTCTATATATATATATATGAGCTTGATTACTGTTCGTTATCTCAATAACTGTGAAACAGGGGGGAAACTTGATATTTCGCAGTCGTTCTTTTTTCTTTATCGCAAAATACAATGCTTACACTTATACCCATAGCTCCCTCTCTAAGGAGGAAATTCTTCAAAATCATATGTCAGTCTTGAGTATTTTTAACATTCCCAACAACCAACATGCATTTAAATTGCCATATCTATATCTTAATAAAAATCATTACAAACAAAGATATATAGCGGGTTCCAGTAAATGCTCTATATTGTACCAAGCCTCTTTCTTTACCCCTCACTAAAATATCAAAAACAGTGAAGGAGAAACTTCAGAAGTACTGTGCAGCAATCGAGAAGTAATGTAAATCAGATGTGGATACTTAAAAATTCCAAGGAACTTTTGGAAAATTTGAGATCACAAAATTTTACCAAAATCAACAACATAAAAACTTGCGACTTTTCAACTTTATATAGAACCATTCCCAAGGCTTTTTGATATCACTGACAGCTGCTTTTTCAATAAAAATGGAACTCGTAAAAATTAGTCATTTGCAAAATTGTTTCGTTAAAAACATTCTGATTGTACACACAAATACTCTGAAGTTAATATTAAAAAGATGCTTGAATTTCTGATTGACAATATCTATGTGGATTTTGGAGACCATCAGGTCTTCCAACAATATATTGGAATTCCGATGGGTACCAATTGCGCCCTGTTATTAGCAGACCTATAAGTATTTTTGTATTCATATGAAGCAGAATTTGTTCAAAATCTTGCTGTGACCTTCAACTCGACATTTAGATATATCGACGACGTATTGTCAATTAACAATGGTTATTTCCATTCTTAGGTCGATACGATATATCTCGGTGAGCTTGAGATAAAAGATACCACAACGTCTGACACATCTGTTTCATATTTGGATATTTTACTAGAAAAAGACGTTAATGATAATCTAACGACCAAGCTTTATGATAAACGTGATGACTTTAACTTTTCAATCGTCAACTTTCCTTACTTATGTAGCAATATACCTTCATCATTTGCATACTGGGTTTATATTTCTCAGATGATTCGATACGCAAGACCATGCTCTACGTATGAACAATTTCTGAAACGAGGTAAGTTATTGATAAACAAGTTGATGAAACAAGAATATCAGCAGTCTCGTTTAAAGTCGTCATTTCGTAAGTTCTATGGTCGATACAATGACCTTGTCAGCAAATACAATTTATCATTGAGTCAAATAGTGACGGACGTTTTTCATACTAATTGTTAGACCATTATTTACACACTGAATTGTCGACGGATTTTTCCGTTATTACTCTTTAGATCGCTTTAATCCGACTTATCAAGGGGCACACGGCGGGTGTGACCGGTCGGAAGGGAATGCTCACTCCTCCATGGCACCTGATCCCACCTCTGATGTTTTAGAAGTCCATGAATGCTGTGTTTCATAATTTGTATTGTTTAATGGACTTTTGAGCTTGAATACTGTTCGTTATCTCCATATATTTCATGCATTAGAACTAAATCCTACATGTAATGGACAGACAACTAAATTCTGTCTGTAACATGTGTAATAAACAACAAAACCATGTGTCATGGACAACTAATGGATAATATATACAACAGAAATGTCTTCTTGCTTGTAACTATTTGTAAATTAATGTCATAAGGGTAAGTCTTGAAGTGATCTTGTCTGTAATTTTATTTTACAATTTGATTGGCATTAAAGATATGGCTAATGCCCATGGATGTTAGAAATGACTTTACCTTGAAAATTTCAGTAATTTCTTATCATGGTCAAACTTGCGGAATGACCATATTTTGTGGCCTATAATTTCAGTGATTTCATAAGATGAAACGTGCGGAGTGACCATGTTTTTGTCGTATGTGATCAACTGAAATTTTCAGTAATTTAATAATGTGAACTTGCTGCGTGATCACAATTTTTGTGTCGTATATGACCAATTAAAATGTTCTTCATTTCTGAATGTATTTTTTTTTACCAGGTTCTTCTCAAGTTCTCATTATAATAGATATGAATAAAAAGTAAAATTTTAGATCATTTGATTTAAAAGTATTTCATTGGCGAAAGTGGGTACCCTATGTAAGGAGTTCTATACCTTTATCTTTTTTTTACACCCCAAATATTTACGTAAGTCGGATTAAAGCGATCTAAAGACCTCTGAAGCAAGTTAAAAAAAACTTACTTTCGATGGTGATTCTTGTAGCGCCGTAAGATGTTAAGTAGGAATTTAAAAAAAATCTTTTCGATGATATTTAAAGTCCCAGAATGTTCAACTTTCTGTCCAAATGATAAATGAATATATATGCTGATAAATTATCTTTTATTTGTAAATAGATTTGACTAATTCCAGGATTTAGTATCTCTTGTGCTTCTTGTGATGTCTACCACAGAAATTGGTCACATCCCTGCCCCACTGGTCGAAAAACCGAGCAATACAGCCGTTGCAGAAACCCCTGAAATATATATGCTTAGTGAAATACAGAACTGCATATTACAAGTAAAATAATTTTTTATGTTTCTTCATATCAATTTAAAATCATAAACGCTTTAAAACTGATTTTAATTTTTCATTTTGTAGCTGAATAGTTTCTAAGTAAACATTCTCTGTATATCTTGTTTAAGAAAGTAAGTAGTTTACTTACACACATCTAGCGTAGGGAAAGTTAGGGCAACTCTCTACCTGACATGCCGGAACATAGCAGGCAATGGCGGGGCATACACCTCCTACATGAAGATGATTTGTAGGAAAAGAGTTCAATTAGCTTTTTGAAAAAAAATGTACATTACATAATCGAAATTCATAAGTAAATTTATTTGAAATATATGTCATGATTAAAAGGAGATACATAAGAGGTAGATAAAGATGTATACATTAACAAGAGATAACAGTGTAACATATTTGTAGGTTTCTTTTACCTCCAGGAAGAGTCTGTCCACCATGATATCCTCCTAATTGTCCTCCATAATGTCCACCAAGTTGTCCTCCATGATACCCGCCAAGTTGTCCTCCATAATACCCGCCAAGTTGTCCTCCATAATGTCCTCCTAGTTGTCCTCCATAATATCCGCCAAGTTGTCCTCCATTAAATCCGCCTCCTTGATAGTAAGATCCATCGTCAGTTGAATAGTGATGACCCCCTTTCTTGTAGTCACTTTTGGGATAGTAATCTCCTTTACGTTTAGAATATTCACTGCATGTTAGACCCTTAATAGAAAAAAGGCATTCAATATTCATTCTGTAAAAGTGGAAATTAAAAATACACAAATGGAAGTAATATTCAACACCATTTCCCCCTTTTTAGAAAATATAGTACTTATTAAAAGAAATACGAATTCGCAAAATGAATTCATTTAATATTTTTCATATTTTGTCGTCCCCTTCGTTGCAATATTCTAAATAAGAACATTTTACCAACAGGGTGACGAGAAATAAGAGAGCAACAACAGACTTCATCTTAGATCGTGCTCGCCTAGTAAGGAATCGTAGATCTCACTCACTTATATATACATGTGTAAACAAAAAAACCCTACACTGCACAATGAAATCAAAATCCGGGAGAAAACGTGCTCAGAATATCCTTCAAGAAATAATGGAAATCCAAGCAATTGGAAATTTCTACTGTAATTTTGGTAATTATTTGAGCGACATTACCAGAATATTTAGGAATGATTTTCTATTTTGATTTTTAAAAAAGCTATTAATTTATCTAATTTTGACAAACAGCACTTCCTTCTTTTGATTGTCAAACTTTGATAGAGGACATTCATCTGTTCACCTGTTTGGAAAAGAGTACATCGTGTTTATAGGATTATACATTATGAATTAAAATATTTTTGATCATACAATCAGAATGCAAAAAAAGATTTATATATATATATATATATATATATATATATATATATATATATATATATATATATATATATATATATATATCTTATATTGCTTTTACCATTACTGTAACGGAGATTTGCAATATCTAGCGGACAAAGCCAAAAATTAGATACCTTTCATGAAAATTCAAAGAAAGACGCTCTTCCTAAATAAATTCTGTGGAATATTTTCTTTTCTTGATTATTTTGATTAACTTTTTACCAGTTAAATTGTTATTTTGGGATTTAATGTTGATCATAATGGAAATTCCTAAGTTTGACAGGTCAGTGATCTCTTGTCTAAAAGCTGTCGACATTCGGAATTTCCTTCAAAGTCCCGCGGTACTAAAGTAATTTACTATAACACACACATGTATATGAAGTTGTCTTAATAACAACAGATGTATAATTTTGGTCAATTATGAAATCTGAAGGAATATGAAGTTGTGTTTAAACAATTTCCATGATTTGGCGAAACCTTGGAAAAGTAATATCCATCTTGTAAGCTTCAAATTTTTATCTTGTATAATCATTTATGTCTTTCAGTATGAGAAAATCTGAAAAATGAAAAATCCTTTTCAAATTCTATACTGTAGTCGATATTGTATTATTATATTGTGCTGCTGGTATAATTTCATCTTGTTTTTCTAGATATTTTTTTCTTCGGATTTATGTACATTTTGTCAACTTTATTTGCTATTGGCATATTTGTTCATTTTACAGTGAATAATTTTTGCATATGTTAAGATTTTCTATGGTGTTAACTCTGGATCCAAATTAAATATATATTCAAATATTTGCACCTATCTTCAATAATTTAACATGTCTCTAGATGCAACGAAGATAGGTATGCATAATTGAAGTAGAAATAGGTCTACATGAATTAGAGGTAGCTTAAAGATACATTCCACAAACAAATTTTCTTATCTCCCATACAGAAGAGTTACATTGCTATTTGTTCATTATTTCTTTCAATCAAAATCTAATTAGAAAATTGTAATAATGTAAATGTAAACATAGACTCTAGAAAATGTTCCTCGAAACTTTTCAGTAACAAAACTTTTTCAAATTTTCAAAAATTATTTTTAGCTGTAAAGTTACATTTTCCCACTTTTCACCAAATTTTGTAGCTTGGTCAAACATAAATTTGTTCAACTAAACAAATATCACTTCATAGTCAGAGAGGCTCCTATTTAAGCAAAGATATTTAAATTTTGGAAGAAAAAAAAATTGTTTTTGTTATCTTTCCTTAAGATAATAATGCCTGTCTGTAAATAATTGAACCCACATGAAATGAATTACACTTAACTGAAATTGAATCACACCAATTTTAGATAATGAACATGTAGGTTTAATTGAATTAAACCTATCTTAAAACCATTTGAAGATATGTATTATTAATTTAAAGTTAGGTACAATTCAAATAAAAATAGGAACAATTTAAAACATCTCCGCAAAGGATTTGAAGGTAGGTACAAATTGACAATACCTTAGGTCAATTCAGTTCCACTTAGCTTTAAATCAGTGCTACCTATTTTGAATTCTTGGTTTTGTACCTATCTTATATTCTGTTACAGGATTCTTTTAATTAATTGAACCTATCTCCAAATGAATTTAAGAGATTGATTTACATTTTCTTCAATACCTTTGGACTTGTGTTTAATTGCTTTTGAAAATAATATTTACAGCTATTTGAAAATACATGTAGGTTCAAATATTTGAACAAATGTTAACTTGACATTCCACAGTTAATATAAATGTGTTTAATTTGTAGTGTAATTATTTTTGGTCCTGAGACACTTATCAAAATTCCATTACATGCTATATTCTGAACCCTTCAACAAAGAAAATCTGAAAATTTATTATTTAATTAATTTTATGTACTTGCAATACGTGCTGTGTGTCCATTCTCAAATCAATACCACACATTTATTTTGTTTTGCATTTATTTTAAGATATGTTTTCATTTCTGAAATGTTCATGAAAGCATGAAATTAGATTTCTCACACACAGATATTTCAAGTTTAATGAGAAGACTGTTTTGCATTTCATCAGGTTTATTAAAAATCTTCGGTACTAGCTTGAAAATACGGATATATATTTAATTGCTGTGGTAAAATTTAGAAATTTATTTCAAAATTAAGGATTATCTCCCCCATGCATAGCTCTGATCCTTCGACGTATTTGGCTCCAGTCTTTGGCACATTTTTTCAACTCTTCCAAGTCTTTTTTATTTTGGATTTTCAAAGTTTTGGCTTGAGCATCACTGAAGAGACACAATTTGTCGAAATGCGCATCTGGTGCATCAAAAGTGGTACCGTATATGATTAACAATACTATATTTTTGCGCTTATCGTGTAAATCATTTATAATGTTTTTCCTTTAAAGCAATATATATATATATATATATATATATATATATATATATATATATATATATATATATATATATATATATATATATATATATATATATATATACCGTTACGTCTTTTTCATGGAATTTACACAACTTTTAAAAGGCATCCCTTTCTTATCTTTTTATGTACAGTGTATGTCGATTTAGGAAATTAGTAAAAGCATATGCGGATAAATTTGTGTCTTTATGTTGGATTCGTATAAAAAAAAAATCAAAATGCTTCAATGAATAAAAGTTAGAATTCCTATAATAAATAAATAAATAAATAAAATTATATATATATATATATATATATATATATATATATATATATATATATATATATATATATATATATATATATATATATATATATATATATATATATATATATATATATATATGAATTTTCTCGTTCTAATTAAGATTAGAAAGAGGGAAAAAATTCTTCTGAAAAGTTATTTCATATTGTTTTGAGATAGACCTACACAGTTCAACATATTTGAACAAGTATAATTATTTGTCTTACAACCAGTTTGCCTTGCACATCTTGTAAACCTTTGTCTGTCAATAAATGGACCAGCTTTACCTTCATCATAATGGCAATAATATATGTATACTAATACACGTACTAACAATCTCGTATTGCTGAAATACTCCATGACTAAATGAATATTTAGTTGTATATTTATTTTGGGTCAAAAATTAAAAGACATACACAGGACTTTTTTTTCTCTTTTTTTGGCTATGACTTCATTTGTTGATTTCCTTTAACTTCGTGAGTATGATTGCATGACGATGAGTTACATATCAAAATTGCATTTTACCCCTTTAGTTAATGCCTTTAAATTATTTTGAATATCTTAACCTGTGTTGGGGATAGGAAATCTATTTTATTATTTCAAAACTTCTTTTTGAATGAGATTTCCTAATTCATTGTTAAAGATTTTGTTTACGAAAACTGTAAAAAGATCTGTACACTTATGACACTATTGTTGCATTATTTTATAATATAATTTCATATTTTACTCTATACGTCTTTTTAAAAAATAAACTCCTCTTGTTATGGAAGCGATAAGAAACAATGATCCAAAATATAATTATAGAGAGAGGCTTATACAGGCAATGCCTGCTGCCATTTATGTTTGATTCATAATAAAATATCTTCAAATCAAATCAAAAGTAAATAAGAAATACAATTTTTAAAAAAAATTAATAAAAAAATTAAAAAAGAATAAAAAATAAAAGATTAATTGAAAATATCTAATCGTGGCAAGGAAATAGTAATGGATATGCAGATTTCAAAAATTGTTTGGAACTATATTTTGGTAGAGTAAGTAAAAGTTATGGCATGTTTCATTTAAAGGATGATAAATAAAATGTATTCAATGTGTTATTGTTGGATATAGAATATATTTCACGAGTGGGACAGGTTTATGATATATTCACTAGTGTGAAGCAAACTTTAAGAGTGAAAATATTTTTTTCAAAAAATTCTGTGTCATGAGTGAAATAAATACTATATTGAACTACAAAACATTGAATTTTCTGTTTATTACACTTTGATTTTTTCCTTCACCTCTGTCTTTTCGTAATGCAGTGTCGTAAGATATGACGTCATATTTGAGTGGTGTGAGACGTCAAAACTAAACGATAGTTAGATTGAAAATAGTTAACATTGATTTTAACATCATTTTGGAGAATCTTTGACAGTTTAAGTCTTTGCCAGAATGGTTAATTTACTCTCGCGATCTTATTACAAACCATAGTGTTTTTTTTTTTTTAATTAAAACTTTCGTGAAGGGAAGAAAAATCGAGAGTTTTGTCGCACTTTTGATATTTGTTAACAGTGTGAAAGAATATCAAAGATTTTTTTTTTCAATTTTGACAAATTATCATTTTTATTCCATTAATTAACTACAGTATTTCACTGTTGAAAATGTAATAAAAAAATAATTGTTAGTTTGTTTGAATTTTGTTGAAAATTTAAAATAATATCAAGGAAAATAATTACCCCAATTAATTATATATGTAAATGATAAGAAACATGCATGTAGTTGTTTGAACTCTGAAAATTCCCCCTGAGGTGATGTGATTCACCAAGTAATTCAGAGTTATCGGAGGATATACGTGATTTGAATTTACTTAGGGGATCCTCTAAAGTCAGGCTACATGTCAATTGGCTAAAGGGTGTGATTTTATAGTTATTTTGGGAATTACATGG